GGGGCGTGGGGGAAGAGCAGTATACCTGCAGAGGACCCCGCCGGGGCTGAGCCCAGCTTCCCCACAGGTATTTTGACTCCGTGGATATCTGCAAGCTCCATTCGGACTGGCACGAGGTGCGTGTGCAGGGCATGTTCCCCAACAAGGCCAATGGGCCGGTGACGGTGACGTCGCTGACGGTGTTGGAGCGTGCTGCCCTGGAGTTTGCCCTCTTCCAGGAGGGCAGCAGGTGAGCTGGGCAGCACACGGGCTGCAGGCAGTGACCCGGACCCAGGAGAAATCCCAAACACATCGCCCTCTCACCCCGTGCCATCCCGCGGGGTGGCAGACCTCGGGGATGGGCCCCCACTGCCCTTTCTCCAGTTCTCCGGGGTCTGCTCATATTTTAGCTGAAACCCAAGCCCTGAACGCGTGCTGGTTCCTGGGGCTGGGTACTTGGGGCAGCGGGAGGACTCTTCCTCTGGATCCGCTGTCCTGCCCGTGGCCTCCACGTGCTCTGCGGGGCGGCGCTCGGGTGACGTGTGACCCTTCTACCCCTCCTGGTGCAGGCGGGCGGGCAGGGGGGGGCGGCACTTTTGGACCTTGTACACGGTGGACAGCCACTTGCTGGATCTGTGCATCATGGTTTTCCGGGCCACCTTCACCAGCGGGAACAAGCTGAGCCTGGGCCGGCTGATGGCTCACAGCAAACGAGCCGTCAAGAAGTTCGTCAACTGCGACGTCATGCTGGAGCCGGGCGAGTACGCCGTCGTGTGCTGTGCCTTCAACCACTGGAGCGCCGCCCTGGCAGGCCCCTCTGCCGCCCAGGGTAAGGGGCTGGGCTGCCGTCCCCGCGGCGATGCTGGCGGAGACCTTGGGGGAGGCAGAGATGACAAAAGCCCTTGATTTTCACCGTGGGGACCTTGCTGGGGGTGGAGGTCGCCTGCACGTGCAGCAACCTGGCAGCACCTTGCTCCTGGGGGTTGTGGGCTTGGTGACAGTCTCACTGATCCCCCCCTTCCTCCGTGTGTCTCCGCAGCATCCAGCCCCACCAGCAGCCGACCGGCCACCGATTATTCCAGCTATATCCTGGCCATCTACAGCTCTCGCCTGGTGATGGTGGAGCAGGTGGAGGCGCAGCCCACCACGTTGGCAGACGCCATCATCCTGCTGACCGAGAACAAGGGCGAGCGCCACGAGGTGGGTGCAGGTGGCACAGGGCAGGGTCTGGAGGGGGGTGATGCTGCCAGCGGGAGCCTGGACCCTGCCTCTGCCGTGTCCTCAGGCTGGCAGGAGTCAGGCAGGGCTGTGCCAGCGCTGGCTGCCACCTGGTCCCCTCCTACCCCATGGATGCCCACCCCCTTTGCTCCCTGGGGCAGCATGGGGTTCCCCAGCAGATGGGCAGCCCTTGGCCGGAGGTGGAAGATGCTGGTCCAGGGGCTGACATTCGGAGGCAGAGGTGCCCAGAGGCTTCACACCCCTGACCCTGCTGTTCGCCCCAGGGCCGCGAGGGGATGACCTGCTACTATTTGACGCACGGCTGGGCAGGGCTCATTGTGGTGGTGGAGAACCGGCACCCCAAGTCCTACCTGCACGTCCAGTGCGACTGCACCGACAGCTTCAACGTTGTCTCCACGCGCGGCAGCCTGAAAACGCAGGACAGCGTCCCTCCCCTGCACAGGTCTGGGGTAGGCAGGGGTGGGTCAGCGGGGGGCTGCCCGGCGAGGGCAGGCGGGTGCTGTTGGGCCCTGGGAGCAGAGCCTGGGGCTGGCGGGGAGGTATGGGAAGAGGGTGGGCACTGGGGTGACAGGCAGGGGGTGGGATTGCCGGGGCAGAGGCAGCTGCCTGGCCCTGAGCCCGTCACTCTCTTCGCAGGCAGGTGTTGGTGATCCTCTCCCAGCTGGAGGGTAACGCCGGCTTCTCCATCACCCACCGCCTGGCTCACCGCAAAGCCACCCAGGCCTTCCTCAATGACTGGATGTCGACGAAGGGCACCCACAACCCGCTGCTCACGCCCGAGGTCGCCGGGCTCCACGGCCCCCGACCCCTATGACGAAGCGCCTCCCCGCTCCGCTCCCCCGTTATTTTCACCGAGCCTCTGGCCTGGGGGCGTCCCCCGAGCTGTCAGCGCTGAGCCGTGGGGCAGAGCCGGAGCATCACACCCAGCACTTTGCCCTGCGCCGCGGGGCCGGGGCGAGCTCTCAGGGCCAGGACCAGCTCTGCCTGCCGCCCCCCGCCCCGGCACCGCCGGCCCCCCATGCACTTTA